TTTTTTTTCTTTTTTGGCTTATTTTTGTAGTAGATGTGTCTATTTTGGTGTCGTTTTTGTGTCACATCTCCAGATTTACATCCAAGGCTGCACTCTCTTTCTCGCACGGCGCGTCCTTGGCTATTTTGCAGTCGGGGTGTGTATTTGTGCGAATCCAACTGAGAATACAAATGTGACTTCGTTTCACGATTCAATTTCAACTAAAGCCAACTAAAATCAACAAAGCTGAGACAGCCGTAGCAAAGCAATGGAAACAGAAACAGAAACAGCAACAGAAACAGCAACTGAAAGAGCGCTTCATCCTTGGAACGAATCTCTAATTAGTCGAGCGTCTTGTGGCCCCTGGCCTCTGGTAAAGCCTCTTTGGGTCTGTATCTTAGGTTGGCACACTTTCTCAAGCCGCTCTGCACATCTCCAAGTGCGATAATTATAATGAGCCTTAAGTTGCTGTCAATATATATATATATGTGTATGTATATGTAACTAAATGTTAAATACCCAGCACATACATGAATTTTCATTAAAATTCACTTCACATTGCAGCCATATTCTTAGCATCGCATTAATATTTTATTTACGCAGCTGTAAATCGTTTCTCGATACTTGAATGCAATTTCATTTAGCCATTAACCTCTCATTACAACACTCAATTTATAATCGTAAATTCAATAAACACATTTTCATCTCACTTCTTAGCGATTTCGTCGTAAATTGACGAGCGACAGACAAATTGATAAATAGTTATTCAATGCATATAATTTCTTAAATGTGCTGCCTTTTCCAGTTTATGGATTGGTTTGATATTTGGATATTTGGTTCCTTTCTGTTACTTTTCCAACTTTCTAAAACTCAGCAATTTAGTGTATTATATTTGTATTTGGTTCGAAAATCACATTTGATCTCTGGCAGTTAGTTAATTATTTCGCACTTGTTTACCTTTAAGTTGAGTTAAGTAAAAATATATCACAAATTCACCGAGTTATATAAGCGAAAAGAGTGTGAATCGAGCCTTTTGCACGGCTTGTGCTCTTCGCTGTTTCTGTTTCTGTTTCTGTTATTGTTGGCCTACTTTAATTTCCTCTTTGCGGTCTCTTTTGGCTTCTTCGTATAATTAATGACATTTTGCTTGTGGACAAGATTAATAAATATTTATTGGCAACATTTTTTTTGTGTTAGATTCTCATTGTTGCTGTTGTTGTTCGTGTTGTGCACATCTGTTTGTTTGTTTGTTTGTTTGTTTTGTGGCCGCCAGTGAAAAAGACATCAGCTAGTTAATTATTTAATAATTAATAATAATCTGCGGCGCATGTGGAGATGTCAGTCCTGTTGACAGTAGGCCAACAGTAACAACCAGAATTGCTCTTCGCCTTATTTGCTTTGTTGCCTTTTTGAGCAAGAGCACAGTTTATTCATGACTAAAGTTTAAGTTTCTTTTCCTTTTTTATGTATTGCGACCAACAAAATTAACAGTACAACAACAAGTTGACAATATGAAGTTGTTTAAACAAATCCCAATTACACTAATCTTGATACTTTAATAGGTAAAATAGCAAATTGCAGAGTTAAGTTATTTAATATATATATATATATAAAGAAAATACTCACATATGATCCATATTATGGATAGGTATATATATTTTCAATTAGATATATGTAAAGCGGTGGCTTTTGTTCAAAAGTTATCGATCAAATCGAATAGTTTCGAAATGTACGAGTTATATGAGAATTTGTAATCAAAATTTGGAGTCTCTGGAATTGACTCGACTCGACTGTTGACCATTCTTTTCGATTACTTTGGGAGAAACAGTGCTAATCGATATGTTTTCATGCAAATTAATTTTGAATGTCCCGTTGGCGTTATCCTGCCACTCATACATTGTGTGTGTGTGTGTGTGTGTGTGTGTGTGTTGTGCATGTGTGTAACCAATCCGGAAAAATGCTTCAAATGCAAGTGCGTCAAAAATAAAGCAAGCGGAATGATGCATGAGAGACTGCGGACACAGCATGGGCGCTGGGCGTCCATCTGACAAGCTGTCAGGTGCATTGACGGACCGGCAGACGAAATGACAGGCAGTCTGACAGTCTACGGCAGGCTTCAGCAGACACTTGTGCTGCTTAGGCGAGGTGCAAGGTGCCAGTTGCGAGGGAGTGGCACTCTTGCGGATTTTCGCTGAAAATTGCTCTTCATTCGTTTATTATGAATGTGCAGTGTTTGTCTTTTTTTCTCGTTTTTTTTTTGTTGTTATTTTTGTGGCTGGCGCACAAAACTGTGCTATGCGAAATTGCAATTTTCTTGCGGCAATTTAATAAACTTGCCAACTCATACTGTTGCAGCAATCGTCGGTGCTTCCCCAGTGGCAGCCTGGCTGGCCTAAATGCACAATGCTATCTTATTCTTATTCGTTTACTGCTTGCCGCTTGTTGCATGTGGCCGCATCTGTTTCGTCTCGGCTGCCGCCTTCAGCTGTGCTGCAGCTGAAAGCTGTTCAAAATAATTACTCGAAAGTCGAGCGCAATTTTCATGCCTGATGCGCAAAGCCGACACTCTACTGAAGAGGCACGAACAGGAGGCAAATGTGTGTGTCTGTGAGTGTGTGTGCTTAAATAATACCTTTTAGTTGTGGCATGCATTGTCGTTTGCCGAATTTCGGCTAAGTGCTGGTCCTAGTACTTATCTATATATGACAATAACAATAAATTCAAATAAATATTAAAAGCAATTAAAAGCTCTAAGTATTAATGGCATTTTCATGCTCTGCTGTCACTGACACTCTGGGGTATATTGCTGCTGATGTCTTTTCCCGGTCATGCCCCAACAATTCGAACTGTCTATATCTTTCACACTTTAAGAGCTGGAGTCAACGAAATTTGAGTGTCATATTATCGATAACCGCCTTAAATAGGTTGGAGAAAACCAAAAACTGATTTACCCAATCAGTTTTTTTGCCACCTGCTATCAGCTGGTTATCAGAGCATTGTTTAGTCGGTTACGCCCGACTGCAATGCTGTCACTTATCAGCCATCATATATCTGTCATTTCGGTCGAAAGATAACTTTCTGTTTGCAACAATAAGGTATACATTTTCCGCTGTCCTTGCCAAATTTAAAGCCGTTATCAAAATAATCGCTGAGCCTCTATATGAAGTTTGAGAACAAACTTAGATAGTATGGTTATGCAATTGTGTTCAATCGGCTGATCTTTTAATACCATTTCAACATATCGGACTTCAGCATGTTTCTATTATTATTATTGTTATTATTCTGTTCTGGTTGAGTGTTTATTTATTTTTCATGGAATCAGCACACGAACTTAAGCATGCCCTTTCGCTTCGTTTCCGTCTCAGTCTTAGTCTCACTCGACATCTCCATCTCAGTATAAGTTTCGGAATTCAAAGTTGGGTTCGACTTGCTCTGAGCACTATTGCGGTTGTGGCACACATGCGGATTTAATTGAGCGGCATGCGAGAGCTTTGACACTCTTGCACACGCATGTGTGTATCATTCACACACCACAAGACACACACACACACACACTCACCAACATACACACGAAAGAAAACACATACCCCCCCCCAAGGCAAAGAAATTCGCTTAATTGAATATTAACGCCTATTGGCTAGACGAAATATTTTTGGGCAAATGACATCGACGAATAAAATGGTTGCTCCCCTCCCACGTCGAACCACCATCGTCGCACCCATTCCACCCATCTTTCTCACGCTCCAAACTCGGTCGGTTTGTGACGCAAGCTTTAGTTTTTTGCCTCTTTTTTTCTATTTGTTTCAATTAATGAAGCTGCGTCTTTCTTGTTTAATTAATTTGGATGAAAGAGCCCTTTAACAGTGACAAAACATGGCCTGAGTATATTTCTATACCCTGTACAGAAAAATAAAAATAGATGCACAATTGGCCATAATTTGATTGAGACATTGTGTAGCATGTTGTTGTATTTTGTATTTCTTATTTTTGCTCATATAGCAAAGCGCCAAAGTTTTCTTTCCAAAATTTGTTGATGATTTATTGATTTTGGGCATACGTTTGAATGCTATGCATATATATGGAGTTCCATGACAGGGTACTTTGCAGTCGAGCTGACCGCTGACTTGGGTTATTTTATATGCATTCGCTTCCTTGGCTACGATTTCGTAAATTTACTGCGCAGCTTTGCATGTGTGAGGTGTGGTGCACGGGGAGCAAGGGGGAAGGTAGGCTTGTGTCAACGAACTGCGCGTTTTGGGAATTAACGGATTACGTTTTCAATTAAACATGCTAAAGACATTTCAATTAGTGGTAATCGGTGACAAATTGGTTTGCATTCATTCAGGCGATTGCTGCGCAAAACGCGCGACGCAAAGATTCATCTGATTGACTCAAATATCACTCATTAATAGCTCAATCGGCGGTCACTAAAGATGAGAATAACCTTATTGCAGTGCATTCACATCGGAATGTGTTCGTCATTATTTTTGGCGCTTGGCGCTCCCTGAAATTGGGAAAGCAATTAGCAGGAGCCAAGCGACATTTTTTGGTGCCTTTTATCTTTTTATGTGCGCGTATTTTCAGCAGAGGAGCAGCAATGAAAACGCAAAACAAACAACAAAGTCAATAAGCAAAAACAGTAATAATATCAACCAGCTTAATATAAACTAAAACATCAGCAGCAGCAGCAGCAGCAGCAGCAGCAACAACAACAACAACAGTATTAAACATCATGCAAATTCGCTTGGAGCAGCGCGCAGCTGCGACGTCTTCGCCGCCAACGCGACCGGGAGCAGCGGCGCCGGCGCCAAGGTGAACGAGCAGCTGAAGCTGTCGCAGCTGAGGCGGAGACACAAGGGCAGAGCAAGAGAGCGAAACGGTGAGTGGAGAGCGAAGATCGGAGAGTGAAGAGTGGAGAGTGGAGAGCGGAGAGCGGAGAGAGCGAGAACGGTGTCAAAGCAAATGTGCAGAGTGCATTAGCGTCGCTGCAGCAGCTGCATTCGAGTTTCAGCAGCCCAACGCAACAGACGTCGAATGCGACTGGCGGGCGGCAGAGAGCGAAAGCAAATTAAATTAAAGCGAAGCAAACTTAAACTTAAACTGAAACTTAAACTAAATCTAACTCAAGACTCAGCCGAGCCGAGCCGAGCTGAACGAGATCGCTGGCGACTGAGCCAAAGTGCACAGCGTGCGGCGAACAAAACAAATTGCGTGTCTTTGTGTGTGTGTCTGTGTGTGTGTGCGTGAGACTCACAAAACGGAAAGCGACACAGCGATAACGATAGCGATAGCAGCATATAACGATTAATCGATTGACGATTTTTGGCCAATTTAGGCAAAATGTGCAGCCGAAAATGTTTCCGCATGCCCACGTTAGTCATCTGCGGCGTTTTAGTGACCATCGTCCTAGTCTGCATCACGGGCATCACCCTGACCAACAGCATCAACATATCGAACATTGTGAAGTTGCGCGAGAAGGTCGCCAGCGATTCGGCGGCTGCCAATGGGGGCCATCAGGCGGCACAGACGCGTGCCGCCCTCGTTGAGCAACAGTATTCAACGCTGCATCAGCATCATTTATCGAAAAGCGATCTAAATTACATATCGGCGGCAACACATCCGAAGAACTTACAGCGTTTCATTTCCACACAGCAGCCAAATCAAATGCAACAGCAGCAGCAGCCCAACAAGATTGTTATCGAGATTGGGTTAAGGAGCAGCACGAGCAGTAGTCGCAGCAGCAACAGCGACAACAATAGCAACAGCAATAGCAACAATGAAAGTGGTCCCAGATCCGTTGGCGGCATCAACTTGTTGCCCATGCCGCACATGTTGCAGGCGGCAGATGCTTTGATGGATGGCAATATTGATTCCATATCTGTGCCAGCCGCAGGCGCAGCTCCAACAACAACATCAACATCAACAACAGCAACAACAACTACGACAACAACAATAGAACCAGCTACAATAACAACAGTAGCAGCAGCAACAGCTGCCAACACATCGGATTCACTGACTTCTGGATCGGCGGCAATCGTTTTTGACATTACCGACCATAATCCAGCGGGCATTCAATTCGAGCGCCGAGCCCACGTTAAACAGGTAAACTTACATGCACCGTCAGAAAAAAAAACAAAAAACCCCCCAAAAAAAAACAACAACACGAAATATTGTGCCCATCTTACGCATACAAACGCAACTCTTAATTCAATAAGTTTTTTCTTTTGTCATCCCTTAAGCTTTAAATATAAGGCCGTTTCCGGGATCAGTTAAGCAGCAGCGCTCTTATTTGAAAAGCAACTCATGCTCAGTTTTACCGCAAGGCTTGACATTTAGTTTTCATTTACATTTAGTACGTAATTACTAAATCCAGAGTCAATAATTTGTCTGCAATAAATCAATAATTGATAATGAACTACAGTTATTTTTCTCATTTAAAAATGTGTTTAAAGAGACTTCTTTGGAATTCGATTTTGTTATTATTGTTTAGACAACAAAAAATTGTAGTCACATTTAAAGTAGCGTTTTTTCCCTAAGGGAAGAGCTTGCCACGCGACACGCGCTGACAACTCCGCTAAAATTTCATCAATCTCGGCTCCATTTAGCATTGTTCGCTCTCGCTTGCCAATTCAATTCAATATTCGCAAAATGCAATTTCCATTTTGTGCGATGCGCCTTTTGTTTCTCTCTCGATTGTGTTGTTGGCGTTGTTTGTTTGTTGTTTGTTTGTTGCTATTTTGTGGGACCACCGCTGCTAATCATCAGCAATGCAGTGTATTGACAACAACAACAACAACAGGAACAGCAGCAACAAAAATTAATAATAAGCTACAAAAACAATCGTGAAGCGTAGCACACTATATAATTCCACACAACCAAATAACTCATACGCCCCATTTGACCAGCCATGAACATTTAGAAAATTGACGAATGCATGTGCGATATACGATATGGCAACGGCATTGTACTGTTATTATCGGGTAATTAAGTCCAGCCAACAGTTAAACAAGTTATTGGAGTTTCTGCGAGGCATCGCTTATCGACTCGTTTAACTTTGATAGATAGTCATCAAACATATGTATATTGAATTTGAACTTTAGTTTGTACTGTTGTTGGTATAAAACAAGTACTCCATGCTCCTAGTAAAACAGATACAGAACTCGGCGGGATACTGCGATCAAATTGCATGTCTGTTACACATGTGCATAGCGAGCAAAGAAACAAGCTAAAACTAATTTGCAATATTACATCACAGGTGTGCTTAGATAACTGTTCAATACTGTTTGCTTACAACTATAGAAATATAATATTTATTAGCAGCAAAAGGTAAAGCGCGTCGATCACCGATCAAAACAGTTACATATTGACCCCTCCTCCGTCGCCATCAGAACTAGTTCACGGCAGTCGCTCTACGAAACTCGCTCTGAAAACAGCGCAATTGCATCGAACGCAGCCTGAACCAAAAGGAAATAAATAATAAACAATAAAAAAAAAGTAAACTAACTCGCTGTATGCGCTGTTTTTATATCGCTGGTTGCCCTAGCTTTTGCCTGATTACAATAATTAACATAGTTTTAATGACACTTCAAGTAACAAAAAAGTAAAGTTGAATACTGATTTCCCTGTCCGCCCCTCGCGTTGTCTTCTTGTCTCTATTTAATGGGTTGGGCGGTCAACCATAAATCGCATACTTTACCAAAGCCCTGATGCGATTGCTGCGACGAGAGAGCGAGAGTTACGTCTCTCTCACTCTCACTCTCACTGTCACTCTCTCTCCCTTTCTCTCAATCTCTCTGCTGCTCTTGCTTGAGGTCATGCCAAAGTTCAGATTAAAGCTTTTCGAGCGTTCGCTGCTTCTGCTTGTTGTTCGCAACGCGATTGCAATTGCAAACTGCAAAGTGAATAGAAATAGTTGTAAGTAGCGAGAGAAAAGCAGAGCACAGATAGGGGGAGAGGATTTCACGGAGGGGGAGGAGCAAGCAATGTGGAGTGCAAGCAGTGAGTGAATGTTGTTGAATGTTTAATGCTGAAAGCTCAGCGCTTCGTTCGTCCTACCCTCCGCTGCCCACGAGCTGCTGGGTGCTGGGTGATCCGACTGCCGCCAGACAGTCAATCAGCCAGGCGGCCAGTCAGTCCGTCAGTCCGTCAGCCAGCCAGTCAGTCAGTCAAAAGCCAACGCTAAGCCAATTAACTTTGCAAACTTATTCCGTGTGAAATTAATTACTTGAATTTTTGTTTTAATGTATGGCAACGCGGCTGTTTGCTGTTTGCTGTTATTGTTATTTGCTGTTGTTGTTGTTGTTTTTGAGTGGAAGACACACAAACAAATTAAGCTCATGAATAATTTTGATGCGTTATTGATTAATGCATAACAGTAATTTATGACCTCCCTTTTTTCAATTTCTTATTTTTCCTTTCTTCTTATTATTTACTTAGATGCCCCACATCTCAATTGTAATGCTATTTATTGTAAACACAATGGAGCCCCTTAGAGGCTAGCACATGACACGTGCGCAAATCTCGATAACCAATCTAAGATATAAATATGCATATATGCTAAATATCTTACAGATTAGAGTATATATATACATATATATATTTGCATTGAAAACGGGTTGGGGCTGTGTAAACTAAGAATAGGCAACTCTTCTGTCATAGAGAATTATACTTGCATGTATTCGAATTTCAATATCTAGTTCCTAGTGTTTGTTCTATAACATTTGTTTTTCCCAGCTATCTGTCCCCTAACATATTATTTTTTTTCGTTCCTGAACAGTTAAAGCCATTCATTCCAGTCTCTCGACTGCCTCGTCGCAATTCGCATGGCGAAACGGAAATTGTTACTTGTCTTTTATAGGTCTACAGAGTTTTCTTGGCAATGTTCCATTTGGAACATAATTCGTACTCTCTGTTAACGAGCTGCTCCTCGGGCAGCCTTCAAATTCAGATTCTGGCCCCTAGCTCCCTGGCTATGGGTCATACTTGTGCTGAGTTTCTTGTTATGTTTTATTTAATATGCTCGTTTATCATACACAGGTCGACCCGCTTAAGTATTTTGTATTTTGTATGTATTTTGGCCTAGCCCCACATTTGGATATGTGGGGGAGCGGCCGAGGGCCGAGGGCCTGTTAAAGTTTCTTAATAATAAATTGCTTAACTTTTAGGTAAACAAAATCACATTGTGTTCTTACCCCCGTACCCCCGTACCCCCTCCTCCCCTGGGGGGTTGTGTTTCAGTGCGAAGCTTGACTGAGCACTCCAGGACGCTCTCAACACGCCGTCGGCTCGACACGTGCTTCAGTCTAGGGGGAAATGAACTAAACGATGATCCTGTTATTTAAATTAAAATTAAAATTATTGCCAGCAATAATTGTTTGGCGAGCATCTTCTTTGGCTGACCGTTCCGTTTTAGCTTTCCCTTTCAAGTATCATCCAAGTACTTGTCATAATTGGTTTTGGCATTAACGAAGCGCCTTCATCAGCTCCGAGCCATCTACTTCAAATTTAAATCAATTTCGCAATTCAAGCTCGCAAATAAAGAACGGCTTTACAAGGCAGTCGTCCAAGACAAGAACCTCTCACATCAAAATACCAAAGACACCGAAATATAACTTTAAGAAACATACCAGGTGCTCTTTGGTATCAAAAAAAAAAAACTAGAAATATATGTCGGAGGAGAACACTTTATCGTTTAGCCGCCATAGGAACAATCGGTCGAAAGATCAGTTATTGTATGAACAACCTTTTGTATACAAAAATATGCCAACTAAACTGAACAGTTCTGAGCGTAATTATGATCAAAACATTTGGGCAAGGAACTGTCAACTTCAAAGTACCAAATCATAAATTTTTTCTTTAGATAGATGCCGGCAATTGGACAACCGGTCTGTTTACTGTTTGCTGTGTTTCTGTTTCCTGTTTCCTGTTTCATTTCATTTTCATTTTTCAGCTTCGAACTCATCCGCATCCGTCATGCCGGGCCACAATTTATAATACAAATTGCAATGCAAAGCAGCCTCTTTAAATGATAAACACGCGCTTCTGTTCCGCCCGGCAAACCGAACCCAACCGAACCGAACCGAACTTAAATCCTTATTTACTTTTACTTATTGCATTCTCTTTTTTCTTTTTTCTTTTTTCTTGCAGGTGAGTTGCAACTGTATCTTTTCACCCAGGCTGCACACACAGAGGCAATGGCTATACTCTGCCAAAGTGTGCCACACTTAAGTGCGATATGATGGTATCAGCTTGGTGTGTGAATAAGTGGCAACCATTGCCAACGGTGCGGTGCACGGGGCACAGTAGGTATTAATTTGACGCAAAGCGGATATTGCAAGGCCATCGAGGGTCTAATGTTAACCAGAGAGGCATCAACTGAAGGCAAGCAAAAACTTTTCTCTCCTCTTCTACCGGCTAATGCGTAATGTTACGCCACTTATGTTGCCCAGTTTCTATTTACACCAACACAAATACACACCACACATCATATCTACATACATGCATAGCATGTACATTGCAAAGTCCTTCGGCAGGAATTTGGCATATACGCTTAGCAAAAACTTTTTTGCAAATTGATGGCAAAAACTAAAACTAGGATTCACACAAATATCGGATCAGATTCCAAGTGGTGAGTGATGAACCAAACAAACAAGTGCTGGAAGTGCTGTTGGGGCTTGCAAAGTATTAACACTCTTTTCTCTTGCACGCTGCTCAACACTGGCCTAATTAATCTTAACCATTATGTTGATCTAGTTGCCATTTCACTTATTTACCCATATATCTTGATAAATATCTTATGTCTAATTATTGCAATGCCATATTTAGACTATATATATATATATATATATATATCGTCTCGGCTAAAATCGTTGATCAGAAATACATATATACTTAGTGGCTTCAAAGACTTTTCCTTCAATGCGTGACAAGCTTTACGACAAAATTATAATACACTCTGTATAAAATATAAAAATAGTAAAGGGCAGACAAGAAGAAAAAGTAGCGCATTGATTTGGCTGCCAAAAACGAGGCTTATTTCTTATTTCTTGTCTCAGTTGGTGGGTTGACATTTTGGGAGCCGAAAGTAATCATTGTTCGATACC